GTTTGTACAACATAGTTTTGTGTTTGTACAGTCAACGGCAGACACTGCTATTTTTTTGAACACACCCCTTTCAACTAATTGCCCAATTGCACAGCCTTAAGAGCGTGCATATCATGAATGCTGGGTCTTGTTTGCTTTCTGAGAATCTACTGCACCTACTGGTAACTTGTTTGCCATGTAGCAATAAAAAATATACTAAAAACCTGGATTATTCTGGTTAGTCAAATTGTACTGCTATTATTTTGAACAATACTGTATTATCCACATTAGATTTAACCTTATTTTCCCTCCCTTCACTATGAAGGACATAATGTAGTCATGTTTGAGCCTGTGTAGACACATTTTTGTTAACATAACAACAATATATAATAGAAGCTTGAAAGGGGAATTCTTTATCTCAGCTTAGATGGAGGTTTGAAGAGATCAGAGCTGTACTTGACTCTCAGTTCAGCTGCTTTGTTTGATGAACTCTGATCCAGTGGTACACATTCTAAAAGACAAATGGACAAAAACAGCCCCACACACTAGTTGCCTGACGAGAACACATTCTAGTTTGACCACATATGTACACAAAGAAAATGGGCCTCTCGCCTGTTGAAGCTAAGCCCTCAACCACCCTGTTCACGCCCTCTCAGATGAACATAAGAGAAGAAAATGTGTTATGCAACTTGATTTTATTTATTTATCTTTAAATCTTTGTTAGCATTCCTGATGACAAACTACTAGTGCTGCGAGCACAACTGTTCTTGTGTTATGAAGGTCTTGGTGGGACATTAAACCTCAACTTAAGCTAGTTTGCATAGTTCTTTTCCCATCTCTTAGGCACCAGCCAAGCTTATTAGAGCTTCATGTTAACTTTGTATTATCCAAACAGTGGTAATCAGTCATTTTTGTTTTCTTGTCATGTCTCCTCTGTGTTGTCAGCCTGGTTGCTGTACAGGGATCATGTTCTTCTGCAGATCAGCCAGAACATGGAGCTGCTGAGAGAGGAGATGGGCCTCCACGTGTCAATCCTGACTAGCAGCCTGAAGCCGTGGCTGCAGCTGGACTTGTCGAGGGGGAACCAACTAGCTGGAAGGATGCTGAACTGGCAGCAGGAGCCGCTAGAAACTTTAGGTCAGGCTGTTGAGCTCTTACTAGAGAGGAAGAACCGGGTTTGGGCTCGTGTCCTTATCCAGCTACTCAGTAGCTGTCTGGATGTAAATCCCAAACTGAACAACTGGGCGTCCAAGCTCAACGATGCAGGTTAGCATTGATCATGTTGTTGTAAACATGTGATTTAATGTTTCATGTCACACACAAAATCTAAGAACATGAGACATGAAATTCAGTAGTCAGCTCATTACAAGAATATTTATGGAGTTTTGAGTGTTGTGTTAAATGGGAGGGTTTTTTCCCCAGGTAGGATTTATAAGGATTTTATAAATGGGTTTGCTTAGAAGTTCACTTTAGTGTTGACCCTCGAGAATGTGACACAAAGCTGGAAAGAGAATTTGCATACAGAAATCATGTAGAAAAGAAATTGTGGGCTCATTACCAGGTTGTGTGACCAAGTACTTTCTACGATGTTTAGGCCTGAACGCTGCCAAATCCTTCATTGAACGCTACGCAGCACACTTGGAGCAACTGAACCTGGACCTTCTGCTGAACTTTGGCCCATTGCAGGAGATGATTATAGAGAAGCTCGGTACTAGGCCGGAACTTTTTTTAAACATTGGCTTCACTGTGACTGAATACCTAAAACGGGCCCCACCACATGACATGAGACTCTTTATCTGGACTCTGGAGGAGCATAGGGATCACTATCTTTCCTGCCAGGCTATACTGGATGAGTATTTTGATATGATGGGTATGCATATTTAACTTGACTAACATTTGATTTGAACCCCTGTTCACTTTTGCAGCTGCTGCTCTGACAATTCTTTGTTTTTCAGATGGACATTGTTCAGTCTTAAAAAAGTCTGATGAAAATCAAAATGTAAGTCAGCATTTTGTTTCCATGGCTTGATGTTACACAGGATCAAAGCTGGTTGATACTAAACTTAAAGAACAGTTTGACATTTTGGGACATGCTTTTTTGCTTTGTCAGATGAGAAGATCATTCTCACATCTGTGTGGTAAATGTGAAGTTAGCGTTAGTTCTACTGAACTTTATTTTCAAATGTCATTCTTGAGTTAAATCACATTTGGCTTGTTTTCATTTCAGAATTCTCCTATGAAGACTAAGAGTCGAAGCAGGAAAAAGAAACAGAAAGAGCCAAAGGTCAGAAGTTGTATTCGTAAATGTTGCTTGAACAGACTGTATGGTTATGTAGTGTCTCTCTGAAGTGCTTCCTCTTCCTCTCAGGGTGTTATTGTTTTTTCTGGGATGAGAGGTGTAACTCCAAGAAATGAGGTAGACCAAGACCTTTTTGATGACAACTCTTTGTAAGTTACACCCTCCACATGGACACACAGGTTGCACCTGTAATTATAACTGTCTGTAACTTGAGCTTTTTGCCAACAGATCATTCCTTCACCCTGCTGATCCATTCAGTGTTCCCAGTCACCTTCGAGAACAAGTGGCTGATTTTGAGGACCAGTACAACAGCACCAGACACAGACGTCACTATAAACAGCTTTTGGACAACAACCCTGACCCAACAAGAGAGAGTTTGTATGAGTAAGTGCAAACTACATTTCCATGATTATATAAATGAAATGACTAGGAAAGTCGACCCTGAAAGTCGACTAGTCTAATCATTGAGACTTTTCCGGTCCAGTCTTTGTTTTTATTTTAGAATAAAACTTTACATTGTTGGTGGTGCGTTGCTATAGGCAGCTGCATTATGATCACTTTTGTCTTTCATCTGAATCAGCCATGTTCTAATCTACCAGGAAGGATGAGTCAAAATGACGCCCTGTCCAATGATGTGAAGTTGAGGCCGGTTCAACTATTTTATTGGACAAAGCTATTTGTTTAGCTGAAGACCTCTCCCAGCTCATCTAAACGAATGAGAAGGCAGCACTTTTTGACATAGAGCTATTTTCAGTCTGTAAATTTCTGTGTTCTCCTTAAGATTATTCCATCTCTTGATGCTTAAATCTGGACTGACAGAGTTATCATAGCCTGGCTGATGTGAAAGAGTTTGAACCATCTGATGATAATATACAGATTTTTTTTTTTTTTTTACTTGGAGCACCATCAGCAGGTTGAAACTGAAATGTCTTAAACTATTGGATGACCTCATGTTATACCCTGAAAACTAATGTTCCCACTGCCCTCAGCTGTACTTTGTGTTTAGTAAAAATTAGTAACTGTTCACTTGCTAACTCGGTAAATTTAATAATAAGCATTATGGCTGCTAAACATCAGCATGTTAGTTTTCTTATTGTGAGTACGCAGCTCAAAGCGCCTCACAGAGCCGCTGGCCTGGCTGTAGTAGGCTCAAACTCTGTAATAGAGACACTTTCCAAGCTACTTCAAACATGCGTATGGCATTTCTGTACTGCAAGTTCCTGTTACTGAATTGGCCTGGATGATTTAAGGTTTTAACCGAAGCATTACTGGTGTGTTTACACTTGATCATCACTCTGCCTTGTATATGTTTTGATTTGGATTATTTTTCTACTGCTGCAGCTATTTTGCCCAGATCTTGGAAGAGCATGGTCCCCTGGTTGCTGAGGATCCCCTGCTGGTGGGTGAACTGGAAAATTTCCCTCAGGTGGCTCAGCTGAAGATCCAAGAAGCGGGTGGCTTTGAGTCCTTCCTCCTGGAGTCTCTTCGCTTCATAAAGATGGGGAGTCGTATTGGACTGGCTCAACATGCAGTCTCCCTGCAGCAGGCTGTACGTGGAGCCGGTCTGGATGACCTGGATGTCCTGGATGCCATAGGAGATTCTGACACAAACTGTCCATCTCCTTATTCACATGAAACTGATTTCACTTTTTTAGCAGAAACTGATACCTGTCCCATCCTCCCTAGTCCTTATGTATATGGCCTCCAGTCCTCTAGTGAAGATCCTGATCCTATATGCAGTGTCCCAGAGAATTATCTCTTCAACTGGAGTACTGGAGACAGTGAACAGCAAGAACCTTACCTTTTTTATAATGAATGGGAAGAGCTGAACATTTATGACTGCGAACTCAATGGTGTGGACATGGATCCATGTTTAGACACAGTTACTTTAACAACAACTGAAGCAGACCTTTTGAAGAAACATGCAGAAGTGCAGGTTAATACCAACCTTTCACTGGCTTTTTAAATAAACTTTATGGAATATGTAATTGCAAAGACTGAAATGCTGTTTTTTTTTTTTTTTTTTTTTTTTTTTTTTGCATTCTCTCTGAAATGTCAGGAGATCACGAGGAGTGTAGCAGTGAACACAGAGCTTCATGAGCGTTTTGAGAGCTGCCAGGTGAGCTGAATAGCTAAAGGGTATTAAATTGCATTCAGGTTACTGGGTTTTGTTGTTGACCCTTTTGGTTTTCTTCATACATCCAGGGTGACATCAACAAAAAGCAAAAGAGCATCAAGAAGTTGGAGCAGCAGATCAAGAAAATGGCAAACGGCTGTGTCAAAGTCAACCTAATGCATAAAGAAGACCTCAGCTCCCTGGAGGAAGACATAGAGCAGATCACTGTCAATATACAAGTAGGTCCATAACCAATTTTATAGGGTTCCCACAGATCCTTAAAAAGTCTTAAATTTGATTTAAAAAATGTAAGGTTCTAAAATGTCTTATAAAGTCTTGTTTTTATTCATGAGATGTCTTAAATTTTGAGATAATGCTTTCACTAACTGACATGTCTGAATACTTTTATCAAATCTGCCTATTACTATATCTACTTAGCATTATCATTTTTTATTACTATTTTGTGTGGATTTGCATGCTAGGCTATGTGACTTAGCCTGTACATTCACTGTCTCCCACATTTTTGTGAACAGAAAGGAGAAGCAGCAGCTAGTAATAGGAAGATGCAGTTTAAGGAACTTTGTCTCTAAGATGAAAAGTAGGCCACTGGAAATGGTTAGCTGTTGCAAGTAATGATTTTGAAGCAATTTGCAAAATAAGCTGAACATTTTGTGAACTTGGGACAATGGGAATTAAAGCAGTTGAGCCCCATATGAAATCAAAAAGGCACAGGAATTGATGGTACTGGTACTCGAAAAAGTACTTCATCAATGAGTCTTGCATGTCTGCTGCCACTACATGATCAGTTCCTGTGGGATCACAGGCTATACAGGTACACTAGTATAAAATACTTGTCTGATACCAGTCCTGCAATAATCCCACTGTAATGAACTTTATAATGTTCAGTTTTGAGAGGTTGGAGTTGTGGTTTTTCTGGTGTTGAGTTATACACTGTGTTCTACTGAGCGGTGTTTCTATAGTATTTTTTTTCAGAAATAAGTCTTGTGAGCGAGTTTGTGAGACATGTATAAACAGTTGCATCTGCATAGAAGTACTAGAGCATACAGTATTGTTCAAAATAATAGCAGTACAATGTGACTAACCAGAATAATCCAGGTTTTTAGTATATTTTTTATTGCTACATGGCAAACAAGTTACCAGTAGGTGCAGTAGATTCTCAGAAAGCAAACAAGACCCAGCATTCATGATATGCACGCTCTTAAGGCTGTGCAATTGGGCAATTAGTTGAAAGGGGTGTGTTCAAAAAAATAGCAGTGTGGCATTCAATCAGTGAGGTCATCAATTTTGTGAAATAACAGGTGTGAATCAGGTGGCCCCTATTTAAGGATGAAGCCAGCACTTGTTGAACATGCATTTGAAAGCCTGAGGAAAATGGGTCAATCAAGACATTGTTCAGAAGAACAGCGTAACCTCTCCATTTTAAGGCATTGGAGATCATTTTAGCTGAACAGCCTATAATTTTTTGCACCTCTTTATAGGTTTTCCCCTCTCCAATCAACTTTTTAATCAAAGTACGCTGTTCTTCGCTGTTCTTTTATGAGTGATGAGGTGACTGAATGACCAAAATGTTTATTGGTGGATTTCTCTTGTTAAGGTGACCAACAAAGAGCTGGTGCTGTTCCAGCAGAAGCTGGAAGAGGAGGTCAAGAAGGACCAGAAAGAGAAGAAAGCCAACCAGGAAGTACTGAAGTCCCTCAAGACAGAGATAGAAAAGCTGGTTGAGGAACATGGGAGGTAAGACTGAAACCACTGGTCGATCATTTTTATATTTAATTCCTACATGTGTCCTGCATCTGTTTATTCACAAATCTTAGATGGCACCTTGAGCCTGAATAAAATGATCTCTTATGTAATGTACAGATGTCACATCTTGCTGTTCCTAATCAGCAGGTTGTATAAAGGAAGAAAAAATGCATCGAGTGATAACTGATCTAATTATTTCTGTTTGTCTTCTTCCCTCTCATGCATAGTTTGACCATAAACATCCAAGAGAAGAAAGCCAACTATGACGCAAAGTTTACCGACTTCATAGAGCTGTGGTAAGCGTAGACAGAGAGTTGATACTGAAACATGAATGAAAATCATCTCAAACTTTTTGTTCACTTTTTTCTTTTTATGTTCCTTCAGCAATCAGTCAGCAGCCGAGAAGATGAGTCTAGAGGATGAGATCAAACGTTGTAAAGCCTTGTTGACCTCGGCCTCCCGGAGGTCTCTCACAGCTCAGGTAGGTCCTTCATCTTCCTGTTCAGTTTAACAAGTTTATTTTTGTCTATAAGGACTCGTTCTTGTGTGTGAAGATCATTCTTGTGTGGGTCAGTCAGGTCCTCCCTGATGGTGCTGTGTGAAGGATAAGATCTAAAAAGCTAAAGAGCCTAAAACCTTTCCGGAGTGTACATATTGGCACGACTGTTGTTTTAAGACAGACTTAAAAATTGAACCGGCCCTTTAACACAGCTTGTTTTTTTTCTCCTCCAGTTATCAGTTGTTGAGAGCAGCCGGGATCAGGGTTTATATGGCCTCTACATAGAGCTGGCAGAGGCAAAGGCTTTGCTGACCAAACTAGATGAAGTAGCCCACAGGTAAGGGTGAAACCACAGCTAACGGATCAGTCCAGCTAACGGGATCGACTGAAGATTACCAGGTGATTTCAGGTTTTTAAGTGCCATGTCCTTCATCTTTCCAGATTTCCTAACCAAGACATGGAAATGACTAGAAACAGCTGCAGATCCAAAATCCAAGAAGTTGAAAAGAAAATCTCTGCTGCTGAGGTAGAAGTCTTTTACTAATATGGCTTCATTTCATGGGACCGACACCGGCCGACGATGATGATAAACAGTGACAAGTTGTTCCACACAGATTTCAAACGTGTACAGTGGGATTATTTGTACAATAACAGACTTTAAGAAATACTCCAGATCTCATTGTTCAGTCTTGTGTATTGCACTACTTGGACTAGACCTGATAGTGGACAGTATGAATGCTAAGCCTTGCTTGTGTTGAATGTGCTAACCAACTGTTGATATAGACTTGTCTCTCTATGGTCCACAGACACAGTACAAGGAGCAGATCAATCACATAAAGAATGGCAGAAGAGTCAGTGAGTTGCTTCCAGTTCACTTCAGCAACCAGCCTGAGTCTGCAGCTGCACCAGTAAGACATCTCACCAGATCAGCCGAACCAGTTTGTGTTTTGTATCAACACAGTAAATAAGTCCCTTGCTCTTGTTGATGATTTTTAAAAAGCTAAGCACTTTGAAGACATTATTTTGGACTTATTGTAGAAGAATGCAGGTTCCACACTGCAAAGATTTCACTCCCAGTGGGGGCATCCCTAGTAATCCCTAGTAATTTATAACTAAGGGTATGAAAATGTAAATGTTTCCTGTTCTGTCTGAATGTTGCAGCTCTCTGTTTCCTTCTCAGTCTTCAGCCCAGGCGGCACGCAGCACTCCCTCGCCTATCCAGCCATCCACAGCTCCATCTGCAGCTGAGGCACCAGCCATCCCGGCTCAGGCACAGCACAAATCTCCAACCAGGACTCTGGAGCCTCCACACAGCACCATATTTGAGAAAGCCATGGAGCGCCTGGCCTCCATTTTCCCTGCCTATACAAGGTAACACTGGAGCACAGGTACCAAGTTAAACACTTTGGACTGCACACAAGTTATCTGTGCATCAGCTATTTAAGAGTCCAGTTTTCCCTGTCATTTGTCTTTCGACAGAGTTTCTACAAACAAGCGTCTGGTTCCTTGGCAGTTCTGCTCAAACTGATGTTGAGCTATGTTTCAAATTTTAGAACTTGGCAGGTCAATGCATTAGCTTATTGATTTATCTGTGTGTATTTCAGCCAACAAGAGATCACAGCAGAAACATGATAAACCAGGTCTGAGATAGTTTGGAAACAGTGGCACCATTATATCATTCATTAGAGCACTGGAAAGTTAGTTTTTTAACTATAAATATGTCTTGATCAGTATGTATTTTATTCATAATTCTTAGAGAAAAATCAAGGATGCATGTCAAGATTAACTGTGTTTATAATTTAAAACATTATCGGCAGTTGAATCGTTATAGAATTTTTAGATACCCAAATACTGATCACTGTGGGCCTCAACAATCCAGAATCAGTGGGGCTGTACTTTCTACTAGAGGTCAAGCTGCTGTTTTGGTCATTACATTATGCATCTTTATATCATTTTTTTTTTTTTGTGTGTGTGTGTGTGTCTGCATTATTCACTTGTGGTCTACAGTGTATGGAGATAAACATAATGAGGAAACCTTTAGCACCGCAAGCTTGGACTTAAGAAGAAATTCAGACAAGCTCATGCAAAACAAATGTAATAAAATCAGTTTACTCTGTGTGTGTTCAGGCCTGACTTGATGAGGTTCATTCAGGAGTTGCGTTCCTCCAGCGGTGGAAGCAGTATGTCACTGCAGGATGTGGTCAGTGGTGTGACTCAACTGATCTTGGACCATCAGGTTGGTTATGTAAATATTTTGTCATTTCTAGTCCTGGTCCTGATATGTAACAGTCCCCATGGAAAACCAGCCCAAATACATCATGCACATATGATGGTGAGCTTCAAGTTAGATTCACTATAATAATGAAGCTGTTCAATTCCGTTTGTCATACTGCACAGTAAAGTTTGACACACCAAGCAGATTCATCTGTTGGTAAAAGTGTCACCTAGAAAGAGTGATATTATAAAAACAAGAAGAAAACTGTAGGAGCTGGTGGTGCAGCAGGGCTCTCATTCAAAATTAATATACACTGTTGTGAATATTAGCTGTCTAGTCCTTACAACACCCATTTTATGCTTCGTCATTTCCAGAAAAAAAGAAACATTCCTATATTCAAGCAAATATGGCAACTTGGACCTGGCCCGACACAGTTTTCCTCTATGTTGTGAGGTTCTCTGAAGACCTTGGTGTTTTGCTATTAATCGCACTTATCTGAAAATGACCCGTTTTCCTTCTCTCTCTCTTTCTCAGGACAAGCTGACTTCTGCCAGAACCAACACTGTGGGCCGTGGAAATCGAGCTCGGTGCGCTACTCCTCCTTTGGCAGCCCCAGCTACGGTCTGGCAAACAGTTGGAACCCAGAGGGCCACACACTCCAGTGCAGTAAGTCCAAAATCCTCCATCAGTATCAACTACACTGGCATAATTCAGTGTGTGTGACCTGATGCAGCAAAACAGTGAGCATTTCTAAGATTGGCAACTTTAGAGGGGCCTGTATTAGGAATAAATCAGTTTGTAATTATCAGTTTATCTTTTGGGTGACAATTTTATCTAAAGATGAAAAACATTCACAAAGGCCACTTTTAATGCCAAATTTTATTTAGCCCTCTTGGTACTCTATAGTATAAACAGTATGAATAGCCATTGATAGCAGAATGAAGGGGGGAAAATGCTGACATGCAGAATAAACACATGGTAGATAATTTAAAAAAAATTACATTGTAAAAATGGATACAATAGAACGGAGTGAATCAGGCTATGCTCTGTGATAAGTGATATTTACAAAGTGTTTGGACTCAGGCAGATAATAAAGGCTTACGTTAGTTTTGGAGTAAATGTAAAACTGTAGAGGTTGGAATACTAACATGCTAATGTTTTCCATGCTGGCATTTGCTAATTAGCACTCAACACAAAGTGCAGCTGAGGCTGATGTTAGTAGCAGAGCAGCAGCTGTTTATTCAGTGAGCACATTTGGAAACTGGGCAGACCTCTGGAGCTGCACAACAATCCATTCTGCACTTCCATCTGTGGAGCTATGCTGCTAGCATGACTGAAAGCCAAGTGTATCAATTATCTGTGGTCTCCAGTGTGGGCCTGACCTGTGTGTGTCTTTGATTGCAGCTGAACATGGAGGATCCTTGCATCATCTGTCATGATGACATGAGTCCAGATACCATCTTTGTGCTGGAGTGCAGACACAGCTTCCATAAAGAGGTGAGTATGACTACTGTACTTTTGTACGACAGCACATTGCACCGACCTAAGGAAAAAGGATTGGAGGATCTTGTCTCATAATTATAAGATCTTTTTCTTGTAATTATGAGATAATGCAAGGGCTGGAATACTGCAAAACCTTCCTGAGAAATAATGAGGTTTCAATAATTCCTTAGTATCAAAGTAATTCAGTGAATAGTTGTTAGTGCATCCAATAAGGCATAGCAAGTGGCTATTTCAGCATACTCAGTGTTCTAAAATGTAAATATAGACAAAAATGGGCCTCAAATTTGCTGTCTACAGTCCAGCTTGCTACATGTACTGAGCAGAGGTTGGCAAGCTTCAGAACCTGCTTGGGAAACATTTGGGTTTTTAAGATTTCTTCATTATTAATGTAATTGTCAGTACATACAATAGCACAAATTGACTAATAATAGTTAATTCGGTGTACTTAATGTTCTAAAACATGAATATAGCTTAAAAATGGCACCCAAGCTGTAGTCCACAGTAACTCTGTCTATGCCAAAATTCTAATAGTTTCTTGTAAAAAAAAAAAAAAAGTATGATTGGTTCACATGACTGAAGTTTTAAGGTAACATTTTCCAAATTAGGACTGGACCCAAATATTTGACTGTTTGGATATGCGTTCAGTGGTTAGGTAATTCCTTTTCAGTTTTAGTATTAGAATATTTGAGATAATTTCACTGCAGTCCGAGGTTTTGAAGCTTTCCAACTCCTGCTCAGTACATGTATATAGTTACACTGTAGGCGGCAACTTTGAAGCCCATTTTTAGCCCAATATTTGTTTTATGTATGGAACAGTAAGTATGCTACATTTGCTATGCACAGACAACTCTCACTTTCATACTAAAGAATTATTTAAAACCTGTTGACTGTCAGGCAACCTCTGCAGCGTCCCAACCCCTGCATTATCTCATAATGATGAGATGCAGATCTCATTATCAAAACAAATTAGAATAAATGTATTTAGTCTTATATCTGATGTGTGGGCAGTGACATGCTAACCTGTTCTGTTTGTGTTCAGTGTATCAGGTCCTGGCTGAAGGAGCAGAGCACCTGTCCCACCTGCAGAGATCATGCCTTGCTGCCTGAAGATTTCCCTGTTCTGACTGGCAGGAGACACCAGGCCCCGTGATGGCTTAACCTTCATTTCTGTTTTTCACTGCCCAAATGTAGGCTTTCATAATTTTTTTTTTTTAACAATTTATTTTAAATCCATGTATTAAACCTTTTTGGTATTAAAATCTTGCTGTACAGGGAGACACCTGCTTTTGCTTTCAAAAAATAAACTGTTTTGTGTTTGATCCCTTCTGTTGTCGTTCATTCACACCTCTGATGGTCACATTTAAAAAGAACCAGTAAGTGTGCGTCTGTTATTGACTAATCCTGCCTGGTACAATGCCTTCAGCAAGTTAACTTCAAAAATATAAACTGTACTTTCAGTAATGTGGCAAATTGAAATAGCTAAGAAACTGACTTTGGTATGGCAGGTCAGGGCAAACCTGACAGGGCGCGGTCAATATCCAGCATGTGCCCTTAGCAGGGAATCCTCCTGAGCCGCCCCCATGACGGGTAATTATAGGTACTTTTCTCTGTGTTGCCACCATGCTGGTTTCACTTAGCCGCACAGTCGTGATGTTTTGATTAATTGTTCTGACTGGCTTTTTTTACTCATGTAAGTTTTATTGCACATAGAGTAAAAAGCATGGGTGGGCTTAACCTAAGTAAACTTTAACCACTTTCTTCATCATGCCTTTATCCGAATCAGGTGGCCCCTATTTAAGGATGAAGCCAGCACTTGTTGAACATGCATTTGAAAGCCTGAGGAAAATGGGTCGTTCAAGACATTGTTCAGAAGAACAGCGTACTTTGATTAAAAAGTTGATTGGAGAGGGGAAAACCTATAAAGAGGTGCAAAAAATTATAGGCTGTTCAGCTAAAATGATCTCCAATGCCTTAAAATGGAGAGCAAAACCAGAGAGACGTGGAAGAAAACGGAAGACAACCATCAAAATGGATCGAAGAATAACCAGAATGGCAAAGGCCCAGCCAATGATCAGCTCCAGGATGATCAAAGACAGTCTGGAGTTACCTGTAAGTACTGTGACAGTTAGAAGACGTCTGTGTGAAGCTAATCTATTTTCAAGAATCCCCCGCAAAGTCCCTCTGTTAAAAAAAAGGCACGTGCAGAAGAGGTTACAATTTGCCAAAGAACAAATCAACTGGCCTAAAGAGAAATGGAGGAACATTTTGTGGACTGATGAGAGTAAAATTGTTCTTTTTGGGTCCAAGGGCTACAGACAGTTTGTGAGACGACCCCCAAACTCTGAATTCAAGCCACAGTACACAGTGAAGACAGTGAAGCATGGTGGTGCAAGCATCATGATATGGGCATGTTTCTCCTACTATGGTGTTGGGCCTATTTATCGCATACCAGGGATCATGGATCAGTTTGCATATGTCAAAATACTTGAAGAGGTCATGTTGCCTTATGCTGAAGAGGACATGCCCTTGAAATGGTTGTTTCAACAAGACAATGACCCCAAACACACTAGTAAACGAGCAAAGTCTTGGTTCCAAACCAACAAAATTAATGTTATGGAGTGGCCAGCCCAATCCCCGGACCTTAATCCAATCGAGAACTTGTGGGGTGATATCAAAAATGCTGTTTCTGAAGCAAAACCAAGAAATGTAAATGAATTGTGGAATGTTGTTAAAGAATCATGGAGTGTAATAACAGCTGAAAGGTGCCACAAGTTGGTTGACTCCATGCCACACAGATGTGAAGCAGTTATAACAAACTGTGGTCATACAACTAAATATTAGTTTAGTGATTCACAGGATTGCTAAATCCTAGAAACAAAAACGTTTGTACAACATAGTTTTGTGTTTGTACAGTCAACGGCAGACACTGCTATTTTTTTGAACACACCCCTTTCAACTAATTGCCCAATTGCACAGCCTTAAGAGCGTGCATATCATGAATGCTGGGTCTTGTTTGCTTTCTGAGAATCTACTGCACCTACTGGTAACTTGTTTGCCATGTAGCAATAAAAAAATATACTAAAAACCTGGATTATTCTGGTTAGTCACATTGTACTGCTATTAATTTGAACAATACTGTATAATGGAGAGGACAGCATGTATGATTTTGATAACTTGCAGGTCAGCTAAGTGTAAACACATTTTTATGAACAGCTACACTGCATATATTCAATTACCAATTTAGCAGGTCCACAAAATTAATAGTGTGTAATGTAACAGTTGTACAGAAATGCCTGCCTCCTGATACAGTTCTTGCTGAAACTTTCCTAGAGACATGTTAATTACATTTTGTGATTGCTTTTGAGGCTGTGGTTTGTTTCTCTGCAACCCACCTTGATATAACTAGGGGAAAAAAAATACTATAGAAACACCGCTCAGTAGAACACAGTGTATAACTCAACACCAGAAAAACCACAACTCCAACCTCTCAAAACTGAACATTATAAAGTTCATTACAGTGGGATTATTGCAGGACTGGTATCAGACAAGTATTTTATACTAGTGTACCTGTATAGCCTGTGATCCCACAGGAACTGATCATGTAGTGGCAGCAGACATGCAAGACTCATTGATGAAGTACCGGTACTTTTTCAAGTACCAGTACCATCAGTTCCTGTGCCTTTTTGATTTCATATGGGGCTCAACTGCTTTAATTCCCATTGTCCCAAGTTCACAAAATGTTCAGCTTATCTTGCAAATTGCTTCAAAATCTCATTTATTTATTTAATTTATTTATTTATTCCAAGCATGTAATAAAAGAGAGAAAAAGAAAAAAAGGAAATCAACATGTAACACAAAACAACCAAACCAATTACCATATACAACCAAAAAAAAAAAAGGCATTTCTCTTGATGTTGCTTAGTCATTACATGCTTGCAAGGGAGTAGAAAGAAGTAATACTTATCTAGTTCTACCCCTAGTGATCCAAACTATGGTTGACACAACCCAAATATTTAACTAAACAACTACACTGGTGAAATTCCCACAACCACCAAATTACTACATTCCTCCTAATCACAAATCACAATTACATAACTAGCAAACAAATGATAAATAAATTATTCATATCCCACCCATAAATACACCGATAATAACTTGGTAAGATCATTACACTTCCTGTATCCAATACCCAGCTATGCAGGCCTTTTTATATTTATTCTTAAATTGTTTTACACTTGTACATTGTTTTAAATCATCACCCAATCTATTCCATAATTTTACACCACTCACAGATATACAAAAACTTTTCCTAGTTGTACGTATGGCCTGAGTTTTTAAATTTAAGTGGCCCCTCAATCCATAACCACCCTCTCGATCACCAAACAGACCCCGAATACCACTTGGCACCAAATTATATCTGACTTTATACATAAATACAGCAGATTTGTATTTTACTAAATCAAAAAATTTTAAAAATCCTGAATGTGCAAATGATGAATTCGTATGATCCCTATAACCAAGTCCATGAACAATTCTAATGGCCCTTTTCTGTAGTTTAAATAATGAGCATAATGCGCTTTTGTATGTATTTCCCCAACACTCAACACAACAGTCCAAATAAGGTACAAACATAGAACAGTAAAGAGTATGGAGTGACTTCCGATCCACAATATTT